AGGCTCCTGGTGTTGCTGGTCAAGGCTCCTGGTGTTCCATACGGTGCCAATGTTTCCCTGGCTGTGTGTCAATGCTCCTCACGAAGATCCAACCTTAACCTCTCTCTCTCTCTCTCTCTCTCTCTCTCTCTCTCTCTCTCTCTCTCTCTCTCTCTCTCTCTCTCTCTCTCTCTCTCTCTCTCTCTCTCTCTCTCTCTCACACCCAGTCAGCCTTGTGTTTTCTGGTGGCATTTGCAATTGATCTCCTTTTCAGAAGTATTAAGACGACCTCATATCACCTCCTCGTGTAGTGAGGTGGAAATGAGGTCGCGGACGGGAGAGCAAGCGACTCCTGGGGACGCGGACAGATGATAATGCTCTCTCTGCGCTGAAAATACATTTCACAGAGCAAGAATAGCAGTTCCCATTTCCAGTGATGATAGTGCTATGTCATTATGACGAGCAGGAACACACGCTCCTTAAGGGCTGAGGTTATTGTGTGACTGCGCGGAGGGCCAAGGTGGAGGGCCAAGGTGGAGAGTGGAGGGCCAGGGTGAAGGGCCAAGCTGGAGGGCCAAGGTGGAGAGTGGAGGGCCAAGGTGGAGGGCCAGGCTGGAGGACCAAGGTTCAGGGTGGAAGGCAGAGCGACGGGATGGTAAGAGAAGAACCAGTAATTTCCTTTAGGACTTGAAATGTGGAGGCTGGTGCGTGGGATAGGAGAGAGAGGCTGGAGGCTGGGACGAGGATGGGAGGGTCATGGAGGCTGGGACGAGGGCTGGGATGGGGCTACAGGCTAGGATGGTTAATGTGGGGTCAGGGTAGACCTGGAGACAAATATAAAAGACAGGTAAAGGAAGCTCACACCTCAACATGGAGGAACGTTATTCGAACTCAGTTCGAACTTCGAACTCCCCAGCATGACAGAAGAAACAAAACTTTTAAACCAAACATTTTGATATAAGTTTAGACACTTGGAACCAAACGATCATTGCACGTGATCCAAGTTCTCTTTTTGAAAGTTCCGTTGAAATTGACCTCAAATTGCCAGCACCCGTTCACTTCCTGGCCTGGGTTCATAATGCATTTTTGCAACTGTTTGCAACACCTAATCACCTTTCCTTAGTCATAGCAGCTTTACTTACGTTATTTAAGAGTTTGCGAGCTTCAAAATATCGCAATATAGGTTTTGTTAAAAACTAATTTTATTGTGCTTCGGCGATCATAAACTATTTAATAAACATCAACAAAGCCGCCATATTTGAGGAAAGATGAGCAGGTTTGGTAATCAGATGTGTAAATGTTTGATGAATCATAACCCATGTTTATTACGGCAAAGGAGCTTCTTATCTTCTTTATATAGACAGATTCATCAGCTTCTGTGCCTCATAAAGGCACTGAAGCTGTCTAGTGGTCCATCATCATGTGGTCTATGATGTCTAGTCATGTCTAGTTGTCCATCATCATGTGGTCCATGATGTCTAGTCATGTCTAGTGGTCCATCAGAACTTAACAGTCATATTTCTTTCAGAGAAGCTTAGAGAGACCGGGCCGTTCAGAGCGGCGGTGATGGGCGGTCTCGTCAAGGTATCACGGGATAACGAAGTTCGTTTAGAAAATAGTCTAGAAAATAGCAATATAGAAGTGGGTAAAATGCAGTTACTAAAATATTTAGATCGTATCTTAAGTGTGTGTCAATTCGAAACTTGTAATATTAATCTATAGAACGTAGTTTCTTGTAGTAAGTCAGTATCTTTGTTGGTTTGGTTTGTTTTTTAAACTAAGACTAGGGTTCATAAGGGCTGTCGAATGACGTGCCTAGTGAAACTGCAAGCAAGAGCTGTTATCCTGTCTCAGCTCATCTGAAGCCTGCTCCTAGAGACTAATTTATTTCATGTGAATATACGTTTAAAGTATCACACAGGACACTATCATAAAGGAACTATCACATAAGGAACCTGATGAAACTGCAAAAGATGTAATTGATTGGTTGATGATAAGTTGGTGATTGATGATTCTTGCAGTAGGCTCTTTCTCTCTCTCTCCCTCTCTCCCTCCCTCTCTCTCTCTCCTTCCCTCCCCCCCCCACTGTGCTGCATCTGGCTGAGATGTGCTTGAAGCAGGTGGGGAGGAGGCTGGTGCATGGCTAGGTAGCAGCGTGCTGTGCCGTGCTGTGCCGTACTGTGCCGTACTGTGCTCCTCGGCTACAGAGGGACTTCTCCACCGCACCACAACAAAGCACATGCTCTATTTCACTCAAAATTTATTTTTCATTTTTCAAAAAAATCTTTGCCTCACTGTGTACTTCACGAAATTACTGCAGCAACGCGAGACTGGATCGTGAATTTCATAAAGGTACGCGCCCCCCCCCCCCTTCGCCTTTTTAGTTAACCATCCCTCTCCTTATAATGGCTCTCTGCCCCTCCTCCAAGACCATAATGGCTCTCTGCCCCTCCTCCAAGACCATAATGGCTCTCTGCCCCTCCTCCAAGACCATAATGGCTCTCTGCCCCTCCTCCAAGACCATAATGGCTCTCTGCCCCTCCTCCAAGACCATAATGGCTCTCTGCCCCTCCTCCAAGACCATAATGGCTCTCTGCCCCTCCTCCAAGACCATAATGGCTCTCTGCCCCTCCTCCAAGACCATCCGTAGGTGATATTTAAAGTACCCGCCAATATGGCCGACAGCCACATAATCCCGTGGGGCGCCAACTATCCACACAATCACGTGGAGGCGAACTATCCACACGACCATTACCCTCCTCGTCACGAACGGGCCATCGAACCAAAGGATAGTTATTTATCCCACATATTTCCCGTTCTCAGCTTCTCTCTCTCCTCTCCGATTAGCCATGTCATCTTCAGCCTTTTCCTGCCCCTTAAAGGCTCCTCATGAACCCTTAGATGCCAAGAACCAAGAGAGGACTTTTGACCAGACCACAAACTAGAAGGTGAAGGGATGACGACGTTTCGGTCCGTCCTGGACCATTCTCAAGTCGATTGATGATTCTTGCAATCGACTTGAGAATGGTCCAGGACGGACCGAAACGTCGTCGTTCCTTCACCTTCTAGTGTGTGGTCTGGTCAACTTACTTTAGCCACGTTATTGTGACTCGTCGCCTGCAAGAGAGGACTACTTAAACCTCTAAAATAGGTCCCTCTGTTGGGTTCTCAATGTTGGTAGACGAAAGCCTCTACAAGTTTACCTGCCTCTTCCTCCTCCCCCTTAGACCAATGACTGACTTCCTTCATAACGCGACTCACAACAGTCTGCTAAGTCCTGACTTAGAAGGCATCAGGTGTAAGGATTCGTGCTCCTACCTTTCATTCTGTCCGGGAGATGAACTCGGGTCCAATTGGTCACGATCCGACTGGGCTGTTAATCGAAGAATTAGCGTTCACAAGTGAAAGAGAAACTTTGTTGCAAGAGTTGGTAACAAGGTAAGGTAATTATCGGGAGAGAGCACTAAGCCATTACGACTATGTATCACTTGGAAGGAATATGAGGATAAGGATTTAGGATAGGCAGGAGGAAAGGAATGGTGTGCCCAACCACCTCGACGGTCGGGGACTGAATGCCGACCTGCACGAGGCGAGACCGTCCAGGACAAGTAGTTGGATTAAGTAACGAGTCATTACATGCAAGCACCACTCCTAGAAAACTATTTACTCATAGCGTAATGCATCGTCTTAATTGATCTACAAGATACAGCAGGAGAAGTCACCCAATCATCAGAAATTATCCAACACTCTGGATAAGTCTGGATATTACCCGACCTTTCCAAACATTTGAGAGACTAGAGGAGTCAAATGACGTACCTGGTGAAACTGCAAGCAAGAGCTGTTATCCTACCTCAGCTCATCTGAAGCCTGCTCCTAGAGACTAATTTATTTCATGTGAATATACATTAGCCACAACTACGTGGGATAGTTATATCTTACGTGATCATCACCCAGGAATCTATGAATCTATGAATTTATGAATCATCAAGATTCATGAAGCGCATACGCAACCTCTTACGAAACCTATACATCTTTCCTAAATCTTGACGGCTTTGTTTACATTTATATAAAGAATTACCAGCTTGGAAAGTCACAACTCAAGGTTAAAATTGTTATAAATAACCTTTTAAGGCTTCGGAGGCCATAAACTTGTTAATAAATATAAAGCCGCCATGATTAAGAAAAGATGTAAAGGCTTCGTAAGAGATTGCGTAAATGATTGACGAATTGTGGACCCAGATTCACGAAGCAGTTACGCAAGTACTTACGAACGTGTACATCTTTCCCTAATCTTTGACGCCTTTGGTTACATTTATTAAACAGTTTACAAGCATGAAAACTTGCCACTGTTGTTATTGTTATAAACAGCCTCCTGGTGCTTCGGAGCTCATTAACTGTTTAATAATTGTAAACAAAGCCGCCAAAGATTGAGAAAAGATGTACACGTTCGTAAGTGCTTGCGTAACTGCTTCGTGAATCTGGCCCCCTGATCTATGGCCTAACTGGCATAACCAAAGTAATTATCGGAAGATGGCACCGAGCCACGAACACAATTTATCATCATTTGAGTAAACAAACAAAGGCGTGGACACTCCACTAACCACTAAGCTATGCACTACTCTCATACACTAATTTATTGAACCAAAAAAAAAACTATGAACTTTACAAAAAACAACTTTGAAAAACTTGAAACTTTGAACAAAAAAAAACTTTCCCTTACTGATCAAATTGCTCGGTTCCACTTGTAATCATATGCCTAATTTCCATGATTTTCAAAACGATTGGAAAACTTCCTTCGCAAGATATTATTGACAAAAAGTCTCTTATATTCATCAACGTAATCTTCCCGCTCCCGTAAAAGGCATCTTGGGTGATCAATTATTAATGCCAGATCAATATAGTACCAATTCCTCAAGTGATATATATACCCATACTGATCTAGCAGTTTTAGTGTGATCATTAAATGTTGTTTTGCAGACACTAATTCGTCTCTCTTTCTCCCTCTTACCACCGGTGTACAGATCACTTCCTTGGAGAGCAACGCGAGCGCCAACGCCCCGTTGGTCATACGGAGGGTCCGAGGACGAGCCTTACCTGGCAGCATCACCAAAGCCCAGTCCATTTCCGCCATCGGTCGTCAGGGTTCACACGAAACTGATGTGTGAAAGTGATGGTCCGGACACCTGGGCTGTGACACAGGGTATGCCAGAGATGTCCCTGGAGGCTGGAGGGGGATAAATCACAGCAGCAGCATCAGCAGCATCAACAGCATCAACAAGTGCAGCATCAGCAAAAACAGTATCAGCTGCCCAGGAGGCCTCACGTAAACACAAGCCCGGGCAGGCTGATTTAACCAGCAAGTAACCTAGAGTAAAAGAACTTCTACGGGCTCACCATAGGCCGTGCTACTTAGAACTTTTTGTTCCAGGTAGCGAATTTTAAACAACAAATCTAGAGTAACAGAACCAGGTCGACGTCATAACTCAGTGTCCACACGTAATACTTTTGTATTACTGAGCTTCAGTAAACGGTGGAACAACTATTACAAAAACACCATAAACAAAATATATCAATGTTCCTTTGAAGAAAAAAGTAAGATTAAAGAATCAAGATCAAATATATTGTCAAATATGGCTTTCAATAGGAACTTGTAGTTTAAAGTAGCATTCAATGCTACTTTACTGAACGAGGAGGAGAATTTAATGTGAAAACTAAAGAATTGGTGTAAATATGGTTCAATGAACTGTTTATTGGCCCAGAAATCTAAAAGAAAGCAAATTCTGAGCCGCTTTGATCAACTTCAAGTAAGCCTTACCGAACACACCCAAGAAGACTATCACTAGTCTGCTAAGGATGTGGCGAGTCTAAGAAAGGGTGTGGCCGGGATGTGCTGCGCTCCAGGAGACATTTTAGTCGATAATCCTCGATGTAAAGATTCCTTTACCCGTAACTCGTGTACTCCAGCTCCGAGCACTTCGAGGGGGACCTTGGTAATCCTCCAAGCCATCCGTAACGGCAGTCTTCTTGGGCCAGATTCACGAAGCAGTTGCACAAAGCACTTACGAACCTGTACATCTTTTCTCAATCTTTGGCGGCTTTGTTTACAATTATTAAACAGTTAATGAGCTCGGAAACACCAGGAGGCTGTTTATAACAATAACAACAGCTGATTGGCAAGTTTTCATGCTTGTAAACTGTTTAATAAATGTTTAACAAAGCCATCAAAGATTGAGAGAAAGATGTACACGTTCGTAAGTACTTGCGTAAATGCTTCGTGAATCTGGCCCCAGGGTCTCTGGGAGGAGCCGGAGCTGGCTCCCAAAAACCTGTATATAAGCACCACTGTGAGCAGAATACCTCGACTGAATGTCAATGTCCTGTGCGTGTCACGACTGCGTCAACCGTAAACCAAAGTGTATCTTGACATTTTCGACAGTGACGAGCCTCAGTTATGATTGTTGAAGGTATCCTCGCACCGTGATTGTCTGTAGCTCGTCAGAGCCACAGACGACAATCGCTTTGAGGAGAATCCCGAGCGTCAAAAACTGGTTATAGTTCTCATCGGTTGAAATAACCTTCAACGTAACCAGTATTAACCCTGGTAACTTTCGGAGGAATCACTGTCGTTCCGTGTATTTTGCCCATTTTATTATCAGTTTTTTTTTTTACATATCAAGTCCACGTCCGGTTATGTGTATAAACAGTAGTGACCATGTTCGCTGTATTGTTGCCTATTGTATTACTATTGTATTATTCATCCTTGATAAATGTTCCTACAGGACAGTTTTTGTATATATCATATTCGTGTACATATAGTTTGATGGGATTATTATTTCACACTAAAGCAGGCCGAGATTAACACTATCAATTACAAGACTTCAAACAGCCAAATTGCTGCAGTTAGAGTCATACTACAATACTAGCCAGCCATCATTTGTAAACACCGACAATGTTCAGATTATGCATTTATTCATGTATTTGCGTACATACATTATAGTTCTGCATCCCACTAAATGCATATATAAATACATTTTATTCATCCATTTATTAATTTGTTGGTGAATATCCCATCTGCTCACAATCATCAGTTCCTTCTACTACTCTTCATCTCTGATTCAACTGTTGGTGACGCGAGATTTGGACATTTCAATGACTGACGGATTCTAGTCAATGTCTAGTCAATAGAATTACAAGTTAAACTAAGAACTTGTCGCCCGGGCCGTGTTCCATTAGTGATAACGTGGGGTCTTATATTTCATATTGCAAGTTAATGTACAACATGTTAGGGATTATACAAGCCAGTCTACGAACCTTTTAGTCCCAAGGCTTCACAAATATATGGTATAAAGATGAAATTGTTATTAGCATTGTTAGGGGGAAAATGTGCCTAAGCCTTTAAAGAGAATACACTAAATTATAGAATGATTTAAAATTATAGAAAGGTAACAAGTTCAGTATCCTGTGGGAGAGTTTACACAAGCTCTCACGTGTTAACTGACTGGGAGTTGACTGTTCTTGGGTAACTTTATCCACCTCGACTGACCTCAGTGTGTGTATATATTGTATACAAAAGTTTCCTTTTATCCTGATGAATATGTTGCATGGAAATATTAAATTAGAAGGATTTTACAATCGATTAAATGTTTTATTTACTAAACGAGTCTTATTCATCCAGCTCCAAATACACAAATCCTGCTCGATGGCTCTCCAGTGCATCAGTGTATGTGATCTTTAATTAATTATCAAGGGAAGGAAAAATTGAGAATAATGTTGATACTTCCTCCGCAGGATATTCAAAAAAAGAGTAAGAGTAACTAGGTAACTAAATATAGGTGTTGTACTGAACACTCTACAAGATGGCAGAACGACAGCAAAAACAGTGACATCAAAGGCCCCGGATTCACCACGAATTTTATCGAGGGTGAAGCGACAGTGATACTGGGAAGCAAAGACCATCCTGAAAATCAGGGCATTCATCTAAGTGCAAAACGGCAAGTGTAACAAATCAGTTCGGACAAAGTGCAGGGTATCGTTCCATTTAAGTGCCAGCGAGTTAAGCTTTTATGACCAATAAGCAGCCTAGCCACAGTCTCGCCAAAGTGCATTAGCGAGACTCCCAACCGGGGTCTCGCTAATGCAGGACAAATGAATGCCAATGAATGTATTTAGTGAATATCTTATTAGTGTGACAATACCAATAAAGCATCGAACGTACACGATACGTGGCAGTGTTAACCAGCTGGGTAATGATCCAACACGCATTTATGCAACCTTACAAACCTGTACATCTTCTCAGTCTTTGGCGGCATTTTCCTTTATTGAGCAATTTCCAACTGCCTAGCTAGTTATAAAAAACCTCTTAGCACTTCGGATCTCAAACTGTTTGATAAGTAATTATCAAAAGAAGGCACCAAACCGGGAAGGCTATGTAAAACTTCGTTAAACGTAAACAAAGCCGCCAAAGATTGAGAAGTTGTACAAGCTCGAATGTAATCGCGTAACTACTACATGCAGGCGATAATTCACAAATAACGTGGCTGAAGTACGTTGACCAAACCACACACTAGAAAGTGAAGGGACGACGACGTTTCGGCCCGTCCTGGACCATTCTCTAGTCGATGAGAATCGAACTACTACACGAGTCGAACCCCTGGTTTGAGGAGCTCTGTCATTAAGTATTGTGTCTATTAGATCTCTCACACTCATCTTTTCCTATAAAACACCTCTATTCAAAAATGCATAATTTGAATCTACAAGAAATATTAAGCAATTATCAAAGAAAAATCCTGTAAAGGGGATTACTTGTCAGAGTGCCAAACAGCCCCTCCTCAATCCTTCAAAGTACAATCATCTTCAACGTCAGCAAGTCGGCGATTAATACAACCGACTAAACTGCTGTCAAGATATCTTCGATACTGTATTATAAACCGAAGTTTCAGAAATAGATTATGTATTTTAGGTTTATGCATAATTATCAATAGGTGAAAAGCCCTGAAGTCTATAGCACCAGCTTATATATAGTTAAACCCAGATAAGTTTGGCACTTATAGTGCAGTTAGCAAGTTGTTTATGGTACAAAGGATAAAGCAAGTCCTCACTGGAAATCTTCGTATAAAGTTTATCCAACAGGTATAAAGAATAGTTATAATTATATTTATATTTTCACAAACAAATATGTATACAAAAAAATGTCTATGTAATAACTTCTTCGGGAATCTTCTTGAGGGCGTCCGTCCTGGTGAGAATGTCCTGAGAGAGGTTGGTCAGTTTGTCAACTTCATTAACAACGAGACGAATGCTGGCAGCGAGTACGTCGTTCGAGACGTCCTCTCCTTGCGTCACCTTCAGTCTCCTTATCGCTTCTTCCTTGAGAGGCAGCAGCGCCATACCCACTTTGTAAAACTGCTCCACAAACCAAGTGTGATGCCAAGATAAAACGGTTTCGTAAGCGGGTTTGAAGGCTTCAAGAAGCGGCTGCTGCGGTTGGAGATGGACAATATTCGTCAGAGATAGCGCCAGGAACTGAAGGTGGCGATGGAGACACGTAAAGAGAATCGTTCCAGAGAAGGGATACGTAGAGCCGATCTTGCCGGACGTGTCTTCGTAGTGGATCATGCTCCTCAAGGTCTCGTACTGCAGGCCTTCCCTCCTCTTGGTGTACAGCTCCAGGTTCTGAATGCGATTATCCAGCATCTGCGTCTGAATGTTGGCGAACCCGCCGAAGCTGCCGAAGAATACCATCATGTTCCGGTACATGGCTATGAACTCCGGCAACACCACGTCCTCGCCTCTTCGGGACTTGAAAAGACTATCAAATACTGCTCGTAAGATGGTCGGACTGATCTGGTCTGAATTAATGGGAGTTTTATCTTGCGGTGGGCTGCCCGGCGGCGGGCTGGTCGACACTGGGCTGGTCGACACTGGGCTGGTCGACACTGGGCTGGTCGAGGCTAGACTGCTCTGCGACGGGCTGCTCTGCATCTCTGAGATTGTAGCGTGTGCTTCACTGCTTAGAATCATCATGTCAGAGGCTTCCTGGATGAGTGAGTAGTCTTCCGTCGTTGGCTTTAAAGACACTTGTAGCAGCTGCTGCTCCTGCTGCTGCTGCTGCTCCTCAGATACGTAAACAACATCCGTGGTGGCTTTATCACTGGAGGCGCTCTCGGAGCCCCCTGCTGTTTGGTCGCTCATGCTAGACTGGTCCTCTATGACGGTGAAGATCTCTGTAATCTTCGAAACTGTTTGCACAACAGAATCCCTGTCAGCCTTCTTAAGCTTGCCGTACCCTAACTTGGACATGTACGTGATGAAGTTCACCTGTGTCCCATTAGTTTCAGTTTCGTTATCAGCAGAAAGATGACCGCTGTAGTAGGCCCGAGGCAAGATGAACACTACCACGGTGATGAGAGGAATCACCAGAAGAATTAACAGCCAAAACTGGAAAAGTAAAAAAAAGAGGATCAGATCAACTGATTATCGGGGAAAAAGAGGATCAGATCAACTTATTATCGGGGAAAAAAGAGGATCAGATCAACTGATTATCGGGGAAAAAGAGGATCAGATCAACTGATTATCGGGGAAAAAGAGGATCAGATCAACTGATTATCGGGGAAAAAGAGGATCAGATCAACTGATTATCGGGGAAAAAGAGGATCAGATCAACTGATTATCGGGGAAAAAGAGGATCAGATCAACTGATTATCGGGGAATATGATCCAATATAAGTTGTTTGGGGGGGGGGAGGATCTACTTTAATCTACCTCAATATTGAAGATTTCGTTCGCGGAGACGGAGAGAGATTTATTTAACTACCATAAAGTTCCGTAAAACTTTGATGGCCGCGAGATTATCCACTTTTGGCGTCTTGCTGGGAACTTTCTTAGTCCATTCCCCTCAGTCCACTTACTTCCAGGGAAAACAACTTAAGGTTTGCATTAAAGATATAATGTTAGAGGGGCAGAGGCGTCACAAGAGCCAAGGGAAGGTCATTCACCGGAACATTTTAACTGTTTTGGAAACGAATAGATCTCTCTCAGACCCCCAACAGGAAACAGAAGGACTGTGCTCATTGGACTGAAGGGCAACAGGGATCATCTAAAGGATTAAATTCTGGATACACAAGCTCCACGCGTCTGCTTCCCGGGTTGGTGTTGCACAAAGGCAGCATTTCCAGCAAGGAAAATACCTTATAACCTTAGTGAAAAAGAACTTGACAGGGAGTAAGTTTCAGCTACTAAAAAATATAGGGAACCACCAATAACCTAATCCAATCAATGCGTGACTGAGGGAATGTTGTTTATAAAAAAAAAGTTGGGGAAAGAGCGAAAGCTATTCAATAAAGGGGAGAAAGGTCAGCCAAGGAGAGAGACATTCGGGGTGGGTAGGGGAGGAGGCGGAAGCAGAGGTCGTTGCCCTGGTATACAAGCAGTCAAGAGTGTACCGGAAGAGAAAGAAGGCCGGTCGGCCGAGCGGACAGCAAGCTGGACTTGTGATCCTGTGGTCCCGGGCTCGATCCCGGACGCCGGCGAGAAACAATGGGCAGAGTTTCTTTCACCCTATGCCCCTGGTACCTAGCAGTAAAAATAGGTACCTGGGTGTTAGTCAGCTGTCACGGGCTGCTTCCTGTGGGTGGAGGCCTGGTCGAGGACCGGGCCGCGGGGACACTAAAGCCCCGAAATCATCTCGATAACCTCAAGAAGGCTTACGAAGAGCAATATTACGATCCTCTATCTTACCCTCTACACCAACGCTTCCACCACTATACATGTAGAAACACTTTTTCTAACTTTTCAGAACGTCCCTGGATTAAAAATGTCAAAATAATTATCACAGGTAGGTAGGTCAGGTGGTTCGTGTTAATGTAGTGTGGAACGGCGTGAACGTGTGAGCCGTTTAAGTAACGACTATCAGGCCAATGCTAACGAGTAGGATTGATGAAGATTAAGCCACTCAAAAGGTGGCACGGGCATGAATAGCCCGTAAGTGGTGGCCCTTTTGAGCCATTACCAGTATCAATAGATGATACTTGAGATCTGTGGAGGTGCAACTGCACCCTGCGTGACGGGAGATGTCTCCCGTGCACGAGTATGAGACAGTAATAAACCGAGGTTTGTATTAAACAAATATTTTGTTATCCCAGAATGTCCAAACTACGACCTTCACCTACGACTAACGTTGCAAAGTCATTTAACCATCATGCATAACTGCCTCATCTCAGTTTGAGACTTCACAAACTAACGTAAAAAAAATTCAGTTTGACGGCGACTTAAACCCTGTGAATCAGTCATGAGAGCGCCAAGAAAGAGTCTCATCCTGACCAAAAACTCTCAGTTATGTAGTAAGAGTCACGTTCATGAAGACAAAACATGTCTCGCGTAACCGATTACTCTCAAACTCTCCTAACATGCCATTCACTTCCTGTGTTCGACAGACTTAAATGCTTCACCCACGCTATGTAAACATTTCAAAATCAAACCACAAGACCTTGTGTGATAGAGACGAGCACCTCCCGTGTTACAGATGACGATAACCTTGGTAAACAAATTAAAAAAAAAAATTGTCTAAGATGAATCACTTCAATTAGCCGGTAGAAATGCATTAATTACAAGGTAGCAATTGTAATTTGTAAATTAGGGGCACGATTTTGAATAGCTCTTGATCAGCCGTCTTTTTGACAGTCTGTGCAACACATTAGCACCCTTGTAATCAGCCTTTGCTTGTTCAGAGACAAGAGTGGTTTGGACTGAATCTGAACTACAACCCACTCATTTAACAATCATCCTTCCTGTCGTTGACCTCGCTTGAACAGCTTTCCACCTGGCCTGTCAAAATAACATGCACAGTTTCCACAATTTAAAATCTTAGTTTTCGTTGTCACATGATTAGTTACACAGGCGATGAGTCACAACGTGGATAAAGTATGATGACCAGACCCAACACTAGAAGGTAAAGGGACGACGACGTTTCGGTCCGTCCTGGACCATTATCAAGTCGATTCGGTCCAGGACGGACCGAAACGTCGTCGTCCCTTCACCTTCTAGTGTGTGGTCTGGTCATCATGATTATATTTTTATTTAATGGACCAGAAACACGGCTCAGTGTTTCTGAACAACAAAAAGTATTAAAAACACTGAGGCTCAACATGTCTGGGAAAGTTTTCAACCCTCTGGCTTCCAGGCCGGAGTGTCAGGCTCTGGAAGGCAAGTCACTGAACCTGCTCTGGATTCCAATCTTCTTCAGCCTTCACCGGCAAAAATTACCCGGAGGGAATTCCAGCGTTTATTCTGGTGCCCGGGAACGAGTTCACATACGACCCTGGGGAAGGGGGTCAAAGACGACCTGGGATGCTCTGGGGGGTGTTGACTGGCCAGAGATGTCAGATGGCAGGAGAGGGGGGGGTGTTGATTGGCCCAGATGGGAGGAGGGGGGGATGTTGCCTGGCCCAGATGGGAGAAAGGGGGGGGGGTGTTGCCTGGCCAGAGATAGCCCAGATGGGAGAAGGAGGGAGGGGGGGGGTTGTAGCATACCAATCGTCTCCTTAGAAAAAAATTATTTGTTGGTTCTTTTCCACGATCTATACGAATACATGAATTTAATACAAATAAATCCGGCATTTTATCTTTGGGGGACCACGAGTCAAATTTATATCTTAAATGCTGCCTCTCTGAGACGCTCCTGACCCTAGCAACGCACTCAAGTTCAGGTTACACAGGTTAAATTCGCAGGCTACACTGACTCCTTGATCACTTTATTCTTTACTAGAAGGATGGAGGTTCACTGCTATGCCCGGGTCTCTCCCCCTTCCCACAGATAATTTATATATATCCCCAAGAACAGAAAACTGTTCAACTCTAAAACATCACAGATTTCTGACTTTAAAAGTCACAGGGAAAGGGGAAGGGTTTGCTGTAAATGCCATTATTTCTTAAAAGTATGGCACTGGGGGCCGATCCCGACTAGTTTATGATACTCCCATAATTCATCTTTGAAAATTAAGCGAGACAACCCCCAAGCGTCTGGTCTCTAACCTCGCACAGACACAAACACTTTCACATAGATATGTTGTGTTTAGAGATACTGTATTCTAGAGCTTTAATGAAATGACGAGTGTTAGATTTGTAAGCAAGTTAAATTCCTTCAAAGTATAAAGATCATTATATCTGTACAAATACTTTTACTAAAACTCAAGAATCTGAAAAAATTCCAAAGAAATTTAAGTCACTTGGAAGGTATGCAAAAATGTATTAGAATGCATTATCTATGGGCAGTGGTTCCTCAAACTGTACAAGTGACATTAATATTTACAAGAAAAACAAGAAAGGAATCTTAAGAGCCAGCGATACACAGAATACTTATTAGTTCTTCCCCCCCCCCTTCCCCCCTTCCTTCCTTCCCCAAGTGGGTAGCTATTTTGGAAGCGAAGCTAACAAATTAAGTAAAGAACAGGTTATCAGGAACCCAGATAATGGAAATTTTAAAGCCATACAAAGGAGGAATATGAACTTGGGAAGACCAATCAACTTAGGATCTGATGGAATAAATGCAAAATGTCAACAGGATTGGACGTCGCTGGCTTGATAAGTGCGCTGGATAAATTACCAGACCACACACTAGAAGGTGAAGGGACGACGACGTTTCGGTCCGTCTTGGACCATTCTCAAGTCGAGTGAGTGAGAGTGAGACCAGGACGGACCGAAACGTCGTCGTCCCTTCACCTTCTAGTGTGTGGTCTGGTCAACATACTTCAGCCACGTTATTGTGACTCGTCGCCTACTTACCTACGTCAGTAAGTTAAAGATTAAGAAGATTAAAATTATATTAATTTGACAAATGTCAAGTTGCCCAAGAGCTAAAAAAAGAAAGGAAGGAAAGTCAAGATGACCAAATGGTGGGAAGCAGCCGTTGGAAATCAATGTGAAAAGCACAACAGTGGCAGTAAAGAGGGAGTCTCCTGTGCCAGGTAGATAGATAGTAGGCATCCATCAGTCTCAGGAGACTATGGAGTTGCGCTCTGGGTGTCGGTCTGGAGTGGCCTCACCAGGGCGCAAAGCCAGGGTAGGTTGATTCGGGGGAGAAGCTGTTACCCAGGCAGCAGTAGACACCCTCTTTATGGTAGTAAAGAGGGATAGTCCCCCTCCACTAAGGACAGGCGGACTGTCCCCAGGATAAACTAGAGAGTACTAGGTACTAACCGCCCATGTGCGACAGGTTCGCTTCTTGGTAACACCGGCCGACCCGCCTTCTTCACCTTCCTCGGCCTCTCCACGTCCCTGCTCCTCAGTGCTCTTCACCACTTCCTTCGTCTTGTCCCCTTCCTCGTCATCTTGCTTCATCGCCTTCAACTTCCTGCAGAGATCTGAACGACAAGTTTTATGTAGAGTGTCATATAATACTTTAAAAATACAGTGCAGTACCTGAGAGCATTACATGATGCTAGTGGCCCGCAGTTACTAGTGTCTCTACAGCTGCCATTCTGCAGTAATGGGGAAAGTATTGCCCGAAGCTTTGCCATTAATGGGAGTACCGACACAAGTTAAATTGTGTTCAAAAGTAACTCTGATCATAAATGTTTCAAGAAAAGGAGAACGCGGGAAACGCCAAAGAGTAACGGGGAAAAGGAGTAGAGGAAAGAGAAAAGCGAACGGTTAACACGAGGAGGAACGAGGATTAGGTTTGTTGTGAAGGGAGGAACAATTGGGAAAAAGGTGAGAGAAAGTGGGTCAGGAGGCGGGAGGTTGGTTGGCATCCTGGGTGGACGTAGGAAACAAAAAGATGGCGGCTAGAGTCAAAATGTCAGGATATGATAAAAACGGAATGGAAATCGGAAATGGGACGGAAGGTGGGAAGGGGGGAGCGAGTCAGAAATGGAGGGTAGGGAGAGACAGAAGATTTGAACACGGGAATAAAGATAAGAGAAGGAGGGAATCAGGAAGAATCAAATGTCGTCTATGTAGGAGGAACTATTGGGGGAAGGGGAGGTAAGGGGTGAACCATGGGGGGAAGAAGGGGAGGTAAGGGGTGAACCATGGGGGTAAGAAGGGGAGGTAAGGGGGGAACCATTGGGAAGAGGAAAGGGAGGTAACGAGCCCGGAGACTGCCAGATGAGAAAGAATTGGCTCAAATATTTTTGGCGGATCTTGGTGGCAACTGCAGGGGGCCCTACACTCCAGCAGGGGGGGGGAGCCCCCCTACACTCCAGCAGGGGGGGAGCCCCCTTACAACCCAGCAAGGGGGGGGCCGACCCCCCTACACAGCTCCAAGGATGACGTCTAAACCTTTGGGGGTTAAGTCTTTGGGTCAGTCCAACACTAAGACACGCGGGAGGACAATCTACGTCGCTTCTCGCCAGTAGAGGGACAAAGCCTCGCTCCTCCCTCCTGGAACAAACAATCCTACAAGGAAAATCATGGACAAACTGCCGAAAACAATCATTGAACATTAAGAATAGCATTAAATGGGAAAACTATCAAAATGAAAGTAAACAGATGGGATAGACGAAAGGGTCAGAAGGAAGGGAGAGCTGACCCAGCGACTTCATACTTAACATAGCATTAACAAGTTATAATAAAAGGCTTGTAACGTGTTTATTTGCACTTTCATCGTTAATACTAATCCACAAAGCAGTTCTTCAGTTCTCTTTGACCAAGCCTTCAGCGTCACGTTTGAAGAGCGTATTTGTTGACATCTGTTAGCCTCGAGCAACACAGGTGCCAGCAGACACGTGTGTCGAGGTTTCCGATATGGCTAAAGCAACGGAAAACTTTGCTGGATGATCGAAACGTTAACGAGAAGATACCAACAGTAACGAAGCCCACTTATTCAATTTTACCCGGCCAAAAAAATGTTCACTACTATTTCTGCGGTCATAATGTTTATTTTTAAAGGAATGTTTGCCAGGATATCTAACTGGATTACGTAGAATACGAGACTAAACGCGACTCCTACAGCCACTATTGCCAAAGCAACTTCACACCTCAACCATGCCAGACAACTCCCCCCTTCGTTAGCTACACACTGCCTCCGCTACACAAGTCCTTAAGTGCCGTTCGTTATTAAATGAACTGTGTGTGTCAAACATTTCTCAAGGAGCGTTGGACTAGTTAAAGGAGAGAGGGGGCCAGCCTGCTCCAAGGAAGACGTGTGGTGGTGCAGGTCCGGGAAGGTCACTATCCCCGTCCTTATGTCCCCGGTTGCAGGTCACCATTCCCCCTGTCCCATCCCAAATCCTAATCCTGACCACTTCCAAGGGCTATATAGTTATAATGGCTTGGCACTTTTCCGGGACACAGCCCCCTCTCCTGTGCCAGGTAAGTCCACTACGGGCTCACCATAGCCCGTGCTACTTGGAACTTTTTGTTCCAAGTAGTGAATCTTAAACATAACATTTCCCTGATAATTCCCTTCCAACACATCCATTAGTAAAGGCGAAAGAGAGAGAGAGAGATCCCGAGGCTCTTTAAAGCACGCAAGAAATTATTGATGAAGGACTCGTCGTAGGCAAAGAATTATTTAGCACACTTAATTTACCTTCTTGTGAAGTGTTGAGCGTCTTGTCCCTGCAGGTTATGACCAAGCTTCTCTCTGTCACTTAAGACGACTTGCCAGAATTAGTCGTGTCAGTATCTGAGCTTCAACACGGCTGTGGACTGAATAAATGACAGCCCAAAAGCTTTAGACATATCTGCTTTATAGTGGACTTTTCCTCCGCTTTTAAATTTGTAATTTTCCTCCAACATTTCAAGAGAATTTTTCTAAACTAGTAAACATTTGCCAGGAATGTGAGCATTTGAGCCTCGCGAGGGTAATGTTGATGGAAAATGTTGTACCTCGACGCCTTACGCGAGACGCAAAGTCTTCATAAAGTCGTTGAAGAAGCTTCCGGTGAAGGAATTTTTAGTGACTAGAAAAAGTGGCTCAAAATTTTTAGAAACTTCCTTAACTTACTGTGTACAGAGGAAGTGTTGACGTCGAGTCGCTTGGTAGCGTTTCTTTCAGACTCGGGGGAACGAGAGTTCGATTCCCGGTTGGGTCAGAAATGATTGGAACAAGTTTCTTTTTAGCCAACACCTCTGCTCACCTAATAGTAAATAGGTACACGGGAGAAAGCCAACTGTTGTGGATTTGCATTCTGCGAAGGATCATTGGTTCGACCTTGAAGGATCCTTCATACAAGCTGTAAGGTGCGAGTGAGTGTTGTAATAAATATATACAGATAACTTGAGAACCACGACGTTAATTTTTGCCAATTTAACCTGTAGGAGATTCGGAGGTTCATTACACAGCCCAGGCTACTCCTGCCGCGTCTGTAGTGGCACGCCCAATTATATATGAAAATAAAAAGATCAACCCTTTCAAAGGACACTGTTGAACTCTTATTAACTTTAGTAAAATATCCATCATCTTTAGTGCATTATCAAATGCGTATAAAATTAGTTAAAGCCGAGCTTACTTCAAAATTAAATGGGTTTCCTGCAATATTAGAGATAGTTGACTAACGTTGGGTGCTGGTAGGAGGGTATTGTAGTTCTGGGGGGTTGTGCTTTGGGGGTAAGGGGTACTTTGGGGGTAAGGGGGTGCTTTGGGGGGTAAGGGGGTGCTTTGGGGGTAAGGGGGTGCTTTGGGGGTAAGGGGGTGCTTTGGGGGGAAGGGGGTGCTTTGGGGGGAAGGGGGTGCTTTGGGGGTAAGGGGGTGCTTTGGGGGTAAGGGGGTGAAGTGCTCGAGGTATTCAAAATGGCTCAGGTCTTCCTTGTTCTTGTTTCAGATTCGGCTTCTGGGAACAAATTTTCCAAGTAGCACGGGCTATGGTGAGCCCGCCGTAGTGGACTTACCTGGCACAGGAGCGGGGCAAGTAGCACGGGCTATGGTGAGCCCGTAGTGGACTTACCTGGCACAGGAGCGGGGCTGTGGTGCTCAGAGCTTCAACCCTTCCCCCCCCCCCCCCTCCACCTTATACTCTAATCCATAAGCGCCTTATCTCCCTCGCCGCCTGACCCTGCCCCAAGCTCCAGACTGTTTTCCCAAAACGCCATTTTTTTTTATAATGACCTGAAGAAAATCCCCAAGACCAAAATATTTTCACGTGCCGTAAAATCTGCAAAAGTAATAATGTTGACCCTCTAGTGCTCAGGTGCCAAGCAAATAAATAATAATCAGTAAATGCTTTAGATATTTACTTATATGCAAGAGTACCGATCGATGAAATTGGTTATTCCGCACTATAATGCAAAAGCCAAGGCATTTCACAATTTATAGTATAGATATAGATAGAGATTTATATCTATCTATATCTAACACTTTTACACAACTCCCTCCCTTTGCTGTGTTTACAAATAATATATTGTCATGATTTACGTGCCAGTCACTAGACACGTACTTGGGGGTAATATTTGTTTTGGTGTAATATTACGGTACAAGTTCACTCCATGTCGTAATTGGAGTCTTATTTTCCTAGCCTAACACCGAGACACTTCACGCCGGAAGGGATAGAGCCGTTGATCCAATTTAAATCGTTTTAGAGGACAAAATAACTAGACTTATCCTTAGACAGAAGTGACGTTCTCCACACAAATCATGTTCAAAGTTTCAGACATACGGATTTGGGGTCAGATTCACGAAGCTGTTACGCAAGTACTTAAGAACCTGTACATCTTTTCCTCAATTTTTGGCGGCTTTGTTTACAATTATTAAACAGTTAATGAGCTTCGAAACACCAGGAGGCTGTTTATAACAATAACAACAGTTGACTGGCAAGTTTTCATGCTTGTAAACTGTTAACTAAATGTAACCAAAGCCGTCAAAGATTTGAAGAAAGATGTACACGTTCGTAAGTACTTGCGTAACTGTTTCGTGAATCTGGTCACCTGCACATCAGTTCTGATCGTACCTTATTATTTACTAGTTATGTTTCTGCCCACCAAGCCCGGAAGAGGGAGGGAGGGAATTATCAGGGGGAAAGCGCCAAGCCATCACGACTATATAGCACTGGGAAGGGATCAGGATTTGGGATGGGACGGAGGGAGAAGGAATGGTGCACACAGATCACACTAACGTGATGCATCAAATGAACAAATACCCTGTCGTAGCTCAGTCGATTAAGGCAGTGTCTGGGATGCTCCCGGACGCAGGTTCGAATGCTCGTCACGGCCCTTGTGGATTTGTTCATTTAAGGACTGGTGCTCAACCTCTTGTGAACGGTCGGGGATTGAACGCCGACCTGCATGCAGTGAAACCGTCGCTCTACCGTCCAGCTCAAATAGTTTGAAGAACATTTATAAACATTTTAAAGAATATGTTTTCTTTCCTACAATATCTGGGAAGGAGCGCAGTAGAGACTAATGGGCAAATGTGCGCAAAAAA